TTTTAATAAAATTCCTATCAAAATTTCAAAAATTTTCCTCATTTCAATGATTTTTAAAATATCTACTTTAACCCCTTGGCTGTCAACGAGATTTCCACTGTTTGGGCCAAAAGTGTGTTGAAAAAATTTTTAATGGATTTTTATGAAACTTGGTACCCTAAGGTTTCTGGGGTCGCTGATTACGAATCTGACATCAGTTTTTAGAAATTCAAAATGGCGGATCCAAGATGGCGGAAATTTTTTCCAAATTCGTCGAATTTGCTTGAAACTTGTTACTCGGGGGTTTTAAGGGTCGCTGATTACGAATCTAACATTGGTTTTTCAAAATTCAATATGGCGGATCCACTATGGCGGACACGTTTTTGAAAAATTCATCGGATTCGCTTGAAATTCGTTACTCTGGGGTTTTTGGGGTCGCTGATTACGAATCTGATGTCGGTTTTTCAAAATTCAAAATGGCGGATCCAATATGGCTGACACAGAGATATTGGATCCGCCATTTTGAATTTTTGAAATCTGACTTCAAATTCGTAATCAGCGACCCCAAAAACCCCCGAGTAACGAATTTCAAGCGAATCCAATGAACTTTTCAAAAATGTGTCCGCCATATTGGGTTTTTGAGGTTATGTCAAAATCCTGATCTGATGGGGTTAAATGGACCTCGGATTCGGATTCAGCGACCCAAAAAACATAAAGTCTACATAGTGAGACCCCCAGATCAGAACTTTTTTTTTTTTGTGTGGCTGTGTTATTTCCTTATGAAAATTGAGAATTTTCTACAAAAATATTAAGAAACGAGAATATCTGTGGACGTCCACATGAAAAGGGCCCATATTGTCGGTTCTAGTTTTCGAGATAATCGCAATTTAGTAATTTTTGAGCAAATTCTTAATTTTTTTTTTATTTTTTATTATCAATCTACATGTTTTGACAAGTCGAATCATGCGGTTTTCATTAATTTATCGATAATTTAACTGTTTGATTTCATTGGTTCTTTAGAAAAATGAAAAGGGCCCATTTTGTCGGTCATTTGCAAAAGTAATCCGTATTTTAAAAATGGAGGTGTGCAAAAATTTAAAACCTCTTGATTTTTCATCTCTAAGGTGTCCTGGACTGTAAACAATTCTTATCTGAATAACTTCTCAGAAGAACCAGGGATATTGATGTTAGAGTCCTTGTTTTTGTAGTCATAGAAATGAAAAATTCGATATTTCGTGAAATTTTTCGTAATAGAGACTGTTAAAAAAATTTAAATAAGTTTAATATCTACTCTTTTTCTTCAAATGACACAATAAAATTGTACCTACACGGAGAAACTTTTTCTTCTAATATTAAATATATTTGGTTATCTTTATTCTAAAAGTACGTTAGAATGTGAGGATTTTTCGTGCGTTGTGATAATAATTTCAACATTAATACGAAAATATGATAAGTTCGTTATATATTAAGCAACCTTCGGTGTACAAAAATTACTATCTGCATTAGAAATAGTCTTATTTTTCTTTAGAAAAGAATAAAATGCTAGTTTTTGTTTGTGAAATAATACGGTAATTCTAACCTTTTTTACACATATAGATAGAATATATAACAGACATTCTAACGTAACATACCAATTTTGGAAGGACTGCGGGCGGACTTAACCGATTTCGCCCGAGCATCACCGAGTCCATCACCTGACGTCGCGAACTAACCCTAATGTTTTCGAAGTTGAAATTCACACGTGTATGAAAGAAAAAAACCTTTTATTAATAAACGTGAATGTCTCCTCATGACAAATTAAATTCAAGAACTGTTCCTCAATATAACATAATTTTTTTCACGACTTTTACTTATTTACATAATTTGATTAGTAAGTTATTTTAAAAAATGCTCTCTCTCGAAGGCACATATTTTTCCACTCGTTTAATATATAAGGACGATTCAGCTGTGTACTTCTAACGAATCGTGCGATCTTTCGGTTTCCGTGACCAATCGTCGTGTCTTTACTTGCGTGTGCGTGTGTGCGTTATTAGTATAGGTTAGGTTCTTACGTCGTGTTAAATATATTTACCTACAGTTACAGTGACATACACTAATGCCATCTACCATCAGATCCAAGTATCACTATCGTCTCTATGAGTATCTATAGACAATTAATTTGTTGTGTGTTTCTTTTTAATTCATGGCTTTCCCAACTTTGCAAAAATTATTATTTTCTTTCTAAAACAACATACTAATTTTCGTTAGTTTCCTTATGAAGAACTGTAAAATATATACTGAATGAGTGTTTTTGATAGTCTCAATAGCAATTTCTATAACCTATGTCGTTTTTCCCTTGAATCTAACCTAACATACTAAAATGTCTCACCAGTTTTAAGAATTAGTGATATTAAAAGTTTCTCCGTGTAATCATTAATCCTGTAAAAAAATGGTTTTTTAATAGAAAAACTGTCCTTTTTAGAAAAGGGCCCATATTGTCGGTTTCTCGTACTTAAGTACGAAATTTTTCAAAACTAAGAGGGGGGAAGGTTTTAAAAATTTAAAACTTATTGGTTTTTCATCTTTTAGGTACCCTGGACTGTAAACAATTCTTATCTGAATAACTTTCCAGAAGAACCAGAGATATTGATGTTAGAATCTTTTTTTCGTAATTGTCGAAATGAAAATTTTAATATTGCGTCAATTTTTTCATAATAGAGACTGTCAAAAATTTTTAAATAAGTTTAATATATATTCTTTTTCTTCAAATGACACAATAAAATTGTACCTAATCATTTATCTTGTAAAAAAATGGTTTTTTAATAGAAAAACTGTCCTTTTTAGAAAAGGGCCCATATTGTCGGTTCTTAAATTAATTAATTAATTAAGGGGAGGGGGTGGTTCTAAAAATTTAAAACCTGTTGGTTTTTTATCTTCAAGGTGCCCTGAACTAGAAACAATTCTTATCTGAATAACTTCCAAGAAGAACCAGAGATACAACAATTAGTTGGTATCGCAATCTCTAATTCCGTTTTTCTCGAAATGAGGTTTTTGGCGTTTTAAACTTTGAAATTCCGTAACTCAGCGAATTTTTAACCAAAAAAGTTCTAAGACCACTCAAAATTCTCCAAATTTTGCCAGGATTACGCCCATATAGATAACTCCAATAGTGCCAAAATGGGCCCTTTTCATGTGGACGTCCACAAATAATGATTTTAACACTTAATCCTCTTTTATTATTATAAAACATAAAGAAATCGATCACTCCGAGTCGAAGACTCGGAGTAATCGCTTTCTTTATGTTTTATAAAAATATTTTTAAAGTTGATTAATTTCAAAATAGTTTGAATTTGAATGTTTTGAAGAATTTTAATTCCTACGGAAAAATAATAATAACCAAATATTTAAAATATTTAAAAAAGAAATTATTGTTTTCGAATAATTTTACAATTAAAGATATTCGTAAATAAATTTAACAGAACATTTTTTCAATAAAATTTTTTTCTTTATTTTCTAAAAATTCAAAAATTTTTAGTTTCATTTTCAATTAAATTTTCTAATTGACAAATATTGATGCAAATTATTTCCTTATGAAAATTGAGAATTTTCTACAAAAATATTAAGAAACGAGAATATCTAATGTTTTTTTTCCGAAAAGAAAAAATTAGTTTATAAACAATATTATTATTGAGAAATAAAAATGATGCATAAAATGGGTATATTTCCTACTTCCTAATAGAAATTTTGTAACAATTTTCAATTTTCTAGTATTTTTTATAAATAAAAAGGAGAATAATTTGCATAATAATTTAGATCAGTCAAACGAAATTTATTTGAGACAAAAACATATAACAAACAAAATGGGTATATTTTTCATTTGTTAATTATTTTTTTTAAATTTTCTAATTTGTAATATTATTTTTTAATATCTACTCCCTAAATTTGAATTAGTAACTCACTTTTTGCTTATAAATTAGTAAATTATACTAATTTTACAAATAAAATAATAGTAAAATTTACTAATTGAATAAGCAAAAAGTCAGTCAATAATTCAAATTAGTAAAAAATTGTAATAATTCAAATTTAAGGAGTAGATGAGGCAGTACGTCAAAAAGTAAAAAATTTAATTAAATTAAAAAAATTAACTAATATATTAATCTTCGTATTCTTTCATTCACTCTGTCCGCTTTTGAAGTTAGTTTCTGTATCCCTTTGTATTTTTTTTTTTTTTTTATTTAAAAAATATTGTTTGTCAAATTGAAAATATGCAGGTATTTTTTCATGATTTATAATAAAATATATTTATTGTATTATAATTTTGTTGTTATATAATTTTTTTTGGTAAAATTCTTTTTATTAATTTTTGCAAAGGAGAGGAGAAAGATTTGAGAAAAATTGCGAGCGTTCGAATGAAGATAGTTTTTAAGTGTGTATTTATAAACTCCATGTTCAGGTGCCAGTAGGTGGCGGCCATGTTTTCATTATACCGCGTTATGTCTGGTGCTTGATCATAGTCTACCTTTTCTTTCTAACTCGCAGCTGCTGTTTATCTTTTCCCGTGAGCGGTGATTTTTCAACACACAAATGTACGTACAACATCCCTTTGCAAACGTGGACTCTTACTTCATTAGGAAAATGTGTATTCTCCTCCGGGGTTTGAAATTTAGTGCGAAAATACATTTTTTATAGACGAATATTTACAGAAATATTTATAATTTTTTTTTTTGTGAAGAAAAAAAAGTTTGTTTATTTTTTACACAGAAAAAGTCTACAATTTTTGTTGTAAATAAATAGAACATCTATTTGGATCTTCTACGAGCCTTTTTTTTGCACTTTTGATAGTATTTTACTATTTTTTGTTTCTAATTTCATTCCGTGGCTTGTAATAAAATAATTAATTAAATTTTTAATGTAAAAAATATTCAAATAATAAATTGTTGATTTGCTTTTTGTTGATATGGCTATTGAATAGTAAAAGATAATTTATACCGAAATGAAAATTTAAAATAAGTAATAATCGATGAATTTCGTTAATTTTTCAGGAAAGACTTCGGGATCGCTGGTTAATTCTAAATGTACGCTGATGTTCATTTGGGAACAAGGGTCTTCGTTCGATAAAGCAGGTCATAACCGGTGTAAATTAATATTTGCACGTGTTTCGAAAATTCGCTATATTTACTTAAAATTTGATATTAAAAATAATTTTCCAAACACAAAGCTTTAGCTTCGGGAGTGGTCGAAATCTTATCTGAAACCGCGAACGATTTTAGGGTGTGCTTAAGTTTATTTTTTGCCTCTCAGTAATATTTCTAATTTTTAAATTTTATTTACTTTTTTTGCCGGAAGTATTTCATTTTTCCTTTTTTGTTTTTGAAAATTTGCGTTTGTTCCCCATAAGTAATTTTTTAAATCGTGTTATCGGAAGTTTTCGAAATTTTTACATCATTTCCAAGTGCTGCTTCAGAATGGAGATCGGATTTGGGAAAATTGAGTCAATGGTAAGTTTTTTTTTAGAATTTCAATCAATTTTTTTTTATAGTTTTTAAATTATTTAAATTTAAAATTTTATAAATTTCGAAAAAGGTTGAATTTTTTATCAAGTATTGTTTGGATTTCAGTATTTATAAAAATTACTTACTTCGATAAAAATTAAAAATGAAAATTCAACGTTTTGGAACTTTATGAATTATTTTTAATATGTGGCAGAATTTTACTTTAATAGAATTTAAAAAATATGTAATACTTTAGAAAAAAAAAAAATTTAGAAAATATATTTATATTTCAGAAAACGGAAAATGAATTTAAATTCTCCAAATTTTTGGAGACATAAATTATTATTAATTATTCAAATAAAAATAATTTTTAAAAAATGTTAATGAGTTTAGAAGTAAAATAATTTGTTTGAAATTACACGCACTTGTATAAAATACAATTACATTGAGACAGATTATTTTAAAAGAGCTTTTAATGATTTTTATCAGTAGTAAGAGTCCGGTTTAGACACGCTTGGTTTCTATTCAGTCATGCATAGTTTTTCTGAATTTTTCCAAGTCCTCTTCCAGTGGTAGGAAGAAAATGTCGAGAAAATTTTTTTCTAAGGTCTTTTTAGTTTTGTGTTAAGAAATAAAAATCCGTTTTCATCTGGAAAAACTTTTGTCTAAAAATTTTTACGTTTTTAAAAATCGTCAGTAGTAGAAGCAGGTTTCAGTCAGACAATTGTAGTAAATTCTTTATTAGTAGAAAAAGTCCATTCAAATCAGACAATGTTCGAAATTTTTACACATTTTTTCGTTTTACAAGACTTTTCGTAATTTTTTCCTAAAAGTATTAATTTTAAAATAATCGATTTTTACCCCTTACAATGTTTTCCAAATTTAAATTTTCACAATTCTGTATTTTTTTATTTTTCGAAAAATACAGAAAATACAGAGTTTTTTGATTTTTAATTTTGTAAAATTTCTGAAAAAGAATTTCTCGATTAAAGTGTCAAAAAAGAAGAAAAAAAAAAGAAAAATACAATTGTACCACGCAACTGTGAGAAAAAGAAAAATATCCAAAACCATATAAATAAATATATAATTCGAGTTGGGAATATCCTATTATTACTAATATTCCTTTGGTCAGCTGTAAAAATAGTTTATGCCGTTAAAACTGCGTAGGGTTCTTGGAAATACTGGTATTGAATAACGTGCCAACCGCGCGTAATCGACAAACTTAATGACCGATGGTTTTATAGTGACAGTTATGTAGTAATTCTTTTAGTACCGCTAAGTTGGCACTTAACCTGCGTCAGTTGCTTGTATCGTCGAGTGTCTTACGCGGAAGAAAATTAACTTACTCAATATATATTTCAGGTACCTCATTTAAAACTAGTTTACAAATTACTTTTAAAAGATAATTGGTTATTTTAACCCAACGCACATGCCATCCCTCTATATATATTCCTGTCGATTTATTTCCAATGATGAGAAACAAAATTTGAAAACAAAATTTTTTAAATTCGTTTCCTTCGGGGTTTATTTTGTTTATCATTTTAGCTACGAAAAAATATATATTAGCAACTGCTATTTTTATTTTTTAGTAAATGATAAAATTAATTTACAATCGGACAAGTGGTTCTTAAAAAAATTAATAAACTTTGTAACTTGATTTAAATTTTTATATTTCAATTTTACAGTTTAAGGAAATTCAATTGAGACAAAAAAACGAATCAAAAATGTTGCTTCGCTTTTGATTCGTTTTTCGTCTCAATTTAATATCCTTAGAAAAACTGTGTTACACAAATATTTTTTTTTTTTTGAGGTTTTCGTTCAGTGTATAAGTTGTTTAAACTATTTATATTTATTTGTTTTCCTACTTTTATTCATTTTTGTTTTTTAGTGTATATTTACTTTTTATTTAATTAATTATTTTGTGTTTCTATTTATTCACTTTTTTTACTTATTTATATTGGGTTTCACTTCAAAATACGTATAAATCTTTCGTGTCTTTTTATTTATTAATTTATTTTTTTCTAAAATTTGAATTAGTTAAAAATAATTAATTTGATAGTAAAAAAATTAGTCACTGATTCAAATATAGGTAGTATGTAAATAAATTTTTAAAAAACTATCAAATTAATATAGAAATTTTGTGAAATTCAACTGAAAATAATTAAATTTATTAAAGAATTTCATTAAAAACTTTTTAGCAAATCGAATTTTTAAAGTATTTTAATTTAATAATTGATAAATAATTTAATTTTATAAAGAATCACGTGATTATGTTTCTTAGCGCGAAGAGTAATAATTAAAATTTCTATTAGTTAATTTAAAAAAAAGATAATCACTTAAACTTTTTTAATAAAATTGAATTTTCGCAAAAATTTTTTGAAAATTCTGAAAAATAAGATTTTTGAAATTTTTCAATTCTATTCTTTCAAGATAATTGAATATAATATATAAGCTTATAATATATAAGCTAATAATTGAAATTTCTTTACATTCTATTAAAAAAAATTAAATTCTGTTAAAGAATTTTATTTCAATTTTTCGAACATAATCAAGGGAAGTTAGTCACTGTAATTATAATTTTATTTTTGAAATTTTTTCGCAATATATTCAATTATTTTCATAAATGATAAAACTCATTGTAGAATTACCTATATTTACATTATTTTTAATACAATTTTAATAGAATTCCTCGAAAAAATTAATTATTCTTAAAAATTTTATTAAAATTCGTCGAAAGAATTCAATTATTTCTAGAAACTGTAAAAAAAATTCTTCTCCAGAATTCAATTGTTTCTATAAATAGTAAACTTCTTCAGATTTTTTCTAAATTCTTTTGAATATTATTTTAAAAAAAAAAACATTCTTCACAAGAATTAAATTATTTTCATAAATTTCCATAAAATTCTAAAAAACAATTAAATTATTTTCCAAAGTAATAAAATTCTTCGCATAAATTTAATTATGTTTAAAAATTTTTTGAAATTCTCCTCAAAATTTCAATTATCTTTATAAATAATTTAATTGTTTTCCACAATTTAATTATATTCAAAAATGTTAATAAAATTCTACGCAAACATTTCATTATTTTCTTAAATATGTAATAATATTCTTTTTGGAAGAATTCAATTACTTTTATAAATAGTAAAATTCTTTGCAGAAATTCAATTAGTTTCAATAAATTTTAATAAAATTGAAGTATTCAAATTTTCAATTATACTTATGAACAGACAAGATTATTTTGAAAAATTCTTTGTTTTGGAAAATAATTCAATTATTTTCGAAATTTTTAATTAAAATTAATGAAAAAAAACATTATTTTCAAAAAATTTAAAGACACTCGGCAAAATAATTTAATTATTGATAAATTATTGATAAATTATTGGTGAATTATTGATAAATAACCGAGAAAAATTAGGACAAAGCCGGGAATTTTGTTGAACGAAAATAGTAGACAGTCTGTTTAATTATTTTTTGTTTTTATTTACTTACTTGTTTAGTATTTTTAATTGTTTGCTTGTTTATTTATTTTGTATTTTTATTTACTTATTTAAATTGTGTTTTTAGTTATTTACTTATTTATTTAACTAATACTAATTTATTTACTTTTTTTGTATTTTCATTTGTTTACTTGTTTATTTTTATAAATATTTTGATGACTGACTCTGAACTTTATAATATGTAATGCGTTTTTTTTTGTATAACATATTTTTTTTCTTTTTATAATTTGATGGGATTTTCGTGATTTTATTATCTTTAAATTTACAATTTATTGTGATTTTGTGTTTTGATATTTATTAAAAAATATTTTAATATATATTTATTAAAATATTTTTTTTTCTTAAATATATTGTAATTAATTTAATTTATTAATTTTTACTTATTTTTTGGTATTTTTTCTTATTTCTTGTTGTTGATTGTATAATTTTGATATTTTTTCTAATGAGAAAATCATTTAGATTTCCAACCATTGGAGCTATAATTTTTCTTAAAAATCACTTCTCCGAATGTATTCATTTAATTATTTTCCACCAATTTGAATAAAATTAACTTCAACGTTAAAAATATATTTAAAATTTCTCAAGGTTCTTAATAACTTTTCGAATTTGAAAAAATGTGATTTTCGACTATAATTCAGAAAAATTTACAAATGAGGAAACTTTTATTAATGGGACAAAATTTATTAGCCTGGGGGTTAGAAATGAAAAAGGTAATTAAACACAGAAATAGAATAAAATTGAAAAAAGAATAAATAAAATAAAAATTAAAAAATGTTAGTAATAAGAAAAATGACAGTAATAAGAAAAATGACATTAATAAGAAAAATATCAGTATAATGAGTAAAGTACTACAATTAATGAATAATTTCTTCAATTATTGAATAATACATAAAATACAGAATATAAATTTGCCCAGCCATATTGTATCATATATTGAAACATAAAAATGGTCAATTGTCTCAAAAGCTCGGCCTCGACCCCGATAATGAGGGATTAAATATTAAAGTGCGTATTCTCTGCGCGCGCTCACTCAATGTTCCTTTGTTTTATGGCGCGACGTGAGCAGAAAATAAGATGGCGAATACATCGACCCTTGTGCGCGAACTATAACGCGATTAGACCCCCCCCCCCTCCCCCTCCTCCCTTCGTCTCTAACATATTGTATTTTTTTTACTTCTCTCTCTCTCTCCCCCCTCTTTCTACATCTTGCTTATTCCAACTTATAAACGCTTACCTCAACAATATACCCACGTATCGCTTATTTAGACTCGAGAGCTCTCTTGGTTTGAATCGCAAATTATATAGACGCCGAATTCCTAAGCGTCGAGATGGTTTATGTTATTTCATGAAATAAAGTCGGGCGGTGATTTCAAAAGAAACAATGATACACAATACATATCAATATTATATATAGTTTATATATGGGAAATTTATTCCGTATTTATAATGGATTTTTGCTCTAATTGAGTTTCACATGCGCGCAAAAAATTTTAACATAAAGAA